CGGTGTGTATCGCCACGTGAGAGAGATAGCACAAAACTCAGATACTATCTCCCGCGCCCCAAACACACACACACACACACACACACACACACACACACACACACACACACACCAGTGATATAGATATAGTTTCCAGAAGTTTCTTAGTTCTTTCTACCCTTTACTGTAAACCAGAATTTAGAGACAATGGCCTAGCACCAACATACAACCAAGAATCAGTAAAATTCGTTTCACGTACCATTGAATTTGAGTCTTTCTGGCTATTGACCAAAGTCATTCAGGATTTTTTTTTTAGGCAGATTTTCCTGGGTCAGTGGCTCACCTGTGAATTTTGAAACTATATTGGGTGTCGGGGTGTGTTTGTTCTCTCTTCTTTTGGGCTTTACTGAATGCAAAATGCAGCAAGTCCTGCAAATGGTAAATTAGGCAATGCAGAATCTGGAGGTGTGTTGATGAAAAGAAGTCTCCAAAGAAGAATCAAGAAGATGCAGAGCCAGGGCCTCTAATCCTGGAGTGACTGCTTGCCACATAGTGCAAAAATCACAGCATCATCTAGAGTCTCACATGTTAGCATCCATTTCAAAGTACCAAAGAATATTAAACTGGAGAAAGTACAGGACCCTGAGGTGTCTGGAGTTCATCATAGGATGTTCTCACCAGCTGTGTTTCCATACCTGGTTGCTTCAAGGATCCAGAAGTTCAGAGAATTGCCTCAGGATGAAAGGTGATGTGCCTGTCACAGATCTAGACAGTTTTGTTTGTGTGTGCAGGTGTGTATGCAAGTGTGTATAGAGGTCAGAGAAAAGCCTCAGTGTAAGCCAACCTTTTTTTTTTTTTTTTTTTGACAGGATCTCATTAACCTGAAACTTACCAAGTAGCCTGTCTAGCCAGCAAACCTTAGAGAGCTGCCTATCTTAGCCCTTCCTCAGCCAACAATGGGATTACAAGCTTTCACCAAGGTGCCTGGCTAATTTACATAGGTTCTAAGGATCAAACCCACCACACTTTTTAAACATGGGCTTTGAGGCTTAATGCCCAGTTGGATGTATAAAGCCCACATTTTAGGTGAGCTGCCCATCACAAAGGTCTGTGCAACTTCACGCTTTTCTGTCTTCTTGGGCACATGCCTGATGAGGGGACATTTTGAATACAGTGCCCTCCTCTCATATCATGCCACAAACTCACAGCATATAAGAATAAAGATTATTTGACTAGTTCACATGCTGATCCTTGGAGCCACATCTGCCTTTGAACACCTAGTACTCCTTGCCAGATTCACTCAGGCAGCTGTGGGGTTTGGATCCCATCAAAGCTGCTCACCAGCACAGTTCCCACAGAAGAGTACTGTATAAGATAAAGAAAAGGGAGTGCCATTGGTTCTGGGCAGTCTGTTATTGGCATTTTGATTCTCGTGACCTAGGGAATAAGGGCATGTGTGATGGATTAGTTTTTAAAAGGAGTCCCTTGATCCTTCCATATTGGAAAGTTCACTGGCTGCCCATATAGGAACTAGAGGTAGAGAGAGGATCCACAGAAGCAAGATAACCATCTGCCCAGAGGTTATCTAGGGGTCTCCCAGCTGCTTTCAGACTAAATGCATGTTCTGAAAGGTTGAAATGGAGAGTGGCTCAAATTATAGACCATTAGAGGAGGAGGAACCCTCCAAAGGATGCAATCCAGACCTGTTTTGAATGAGGAAACTCAGCTGGTGTGGTTTACTCCCACCCTTTGCCCTCAAGTCCAAATGGAAGCAGAAAGGGGCATGTTGGTGACATCCAGAGAGCTGACCTTAAAGACTAGGGGACAGAACCAACCAGTGTGGAGAAATCAGCAAAAGGCACCAAGACACTGACTTGCTACCAGCCCCATTGCTATCTTGAACTAGGGATGAGAAAGGAGCCCCTGTTCATGGAGGTGCAGATTTAAGCACCAACCCAGAATTCAGATTTTACTCCACATCCAACCCCCACTTCCATCTTCTGGCCCAGTGATAATGAATCAAGACTCCCATACCTCTGTGGTGGCAGTTTCTGATACCCAGAAGGCAAAATGTTTGGGAAAGGTATGTGTCAAAGGCATCTTCTTGCTACTAAACCTGGGAACTCATAGCTGTATGGGCCTGGAGAGCCTCATAGGCAGGTGTTTGCCTCTGGCCTTTTTAGCCTGGGCCTGAGGAAGCAATTCTCCTTTCTCTACCATTTCTGCTAGAAAGAGAGAGGAAGTGAATCATCTGTAGCCTTTGTCACCATTCTTGGCCCAGTGGGTGGGAGCAGAGACATGTTCTTGGGGAGCATGGGACCGGAGACTGAGAACTCCAGGATTGTACAGCCTGCTGAAGCTCGTTTCCAGTGAGGGTCTCCCTGCCTCACACTGGCTGTTTTGTTCAACATCCTCTGCTGTGATTATGAGAGAAAATTCATAGACATGCAAAGACTATTAGTCCCCACCCTGACACTACTGCTTGAGTTATTATTAACTTGAGTCCTCCTGGAAGAGACATAAATCACTCATTCAGTCTTGCTGGACGCTGGACACTACACACACACACACACACACACACACACACACACACACGCATGCACGCACGCTAAGCAGGGCCAGTGGGAAGGACAACTGCTGTGATCTTGATAAAGTAGGTGATAAACCAGGAAGCAGGATCAAATGCTACTGTGGGCTGAAAGGGGGCAAGGAGGGCAGTGAACCTCCCTTGGGGTCACTGTGTGTGGTTTTGGTTTTTTGTCTTGAGATGGGGTCTCATGTAGCCCAGGCTAGCCTTGAACTCACTATGTAGCTAAAGATGATCTTGAACTTCTGAACTATGTGCTTGAGTGCTGGGGTTCCAGGTTTGTGCCAACACAACCTGTTTATGCCATGCAGGGGAACCAGCCAGCAAGCACTCTACCAACTGAGCTACTTCCACCTCCACCCCTGCTTTCTAAAATGACTGTAGACCTGCCTTTCTCTGGGGTCAGCAAGATATTTGTGAAAACTCAAAGAACTGCACACTAACTAGGGGGGATTTGAACTGGGAAGATAAAGTCAATAGTGCTTGCCATGCTTTGCAAGCATGAAGATCTGAGTCCCAGAACCCACGTAAAAATAATAATGACAGATGCTCTGGCACTTCCTATGATCCCAGTGCTGGAAAGAGAGGACAGCTGGTCCCTGAAGCTCACTGTCCATCCCATCTAGCCTAGTGGGTGAGCCTCAGGTCAGAGAAACACTGGTTCGAAAAACAGGGTGGGCAGCACCTGAGAAATGACACCCAAGGTTGTTGATCTTTGGCTTCTACGTGCATGCACACACGTGTGTTCCTGTCCAGACATGTACACACACACACACCACAGACACCGAAGTCCACGGGAGAGAGATTTTACTTTAGTAAATTATACCTTCTTAAACCTGCCTTTTTAAACAATGCATTCAAGCCATACACCATGATCAAGTTTACTATTTCTGCTACAGCATTGTTTGCAAAACAATTAGAACCACCTAAGTGTCCATCGAGAGAGGACCAGTTAATTATGGTGCTTGCATAGGGTAATATATTATGGCTGTTTGGAAGAATGCAGTAGATCAATCTGTACACTTGATAGGAACTCTCTCCAAGATGCAAAAGAAAATCAGTATTCCAAAGAATGGACACTATTTGCTCCCTTGCATGTACATTTGTGTGGGAGTGCACATACACGTGTGCTTATGCATGCATGCTTATTTAGGTTATTGGAACAGTGCATGAGAAATTGCTGGCACTAATGTCCTCTGATGAAAAGGACTAAGTGCTAAAGAGAAAGAGTACAAGGAAGACTTAAATATCAAGGTATATCTTCCATGCATTTTGCATTCTGTCCCCTCTGCATATATCATCTCAAGAAATAGAAAGTAAACAAAGTGAATTGCTTTGACCAGACAAAAGAAGATCCTGCAGGACCTGGGCCTGGATGGCTTCTCCCTAGCCTGATGGTTTCTGCTTCTTTTTCAGGTCCTTCCTATGAGCCTACCCACTCGCCCAGCATCAGTGGAAAGCAGCTCTTTGCTCCTGTCCCTTTGCTTTCTGGCTCTACGGAAGATGTGTCCCCCAGTGGTCCTACACAGCCTCCTCCCCTGCCCCAGAAAAAGATAGTGAGTCGTGCAGCCTCTTCACCCGATGGCTTTTTCTGGACCCAAGGTTCTCCCAAGCCACGAACAGCAAGTCCTAAGCTGAACCTAAGCCACTCAGAGACCAATGTCTGTGTTCACGATGAGTCTCCCTTTAGCTATTCCTTGAACTCTGGGAACCACTCCCACCATGCCTTCTCTTCTGAGCCTCTGGAGAAAGCTTTTAAAGGCAGTGTCTCCTGGACCCCAGCCCTGGGGTTGGTGGGCAGCAAAGGTGGCTGCGGGAGTCCCAGTCTCCAGTGCAGAGCAGCTGCCTCCACCTCATCCTCCCAGCTGAGTGTGTCCAGCCAGGCCTCCTCCAACAGCACCCAGCTTCAGCTGCACAGCCTACTGAGCAGCATCAGTAGCAAAGAAGGCACCTATGCCAAGCTGGGGGGCCTCTACACACAGTCCCTAGCCCGTCTCGTGATCAAGTGCGAAGATCTCTTTATGGGCCGCCAGAAAAAGGAGTTGCATTTCAATGAAAATAACTGGTCACTCTTTAAGCTGACTTGCAACAAGGCCTGCTGTGACTCAGGGGATGCCATTTACTACTGTGCCACCTGTTCTGAAGACCCAGGCAGCACCTATGCTGTGAAGGTAGGTATCACCCCCTCCTGCCTTTCTCTGGTGTAACTAGCTGATCCCAACATGAGCACATCATTCCGCCTCTCCAGGCTTCCAGAAGTGGCTGGTTCCCAAGCTTCCTTTTGTACTTGGTGCTCAGTGTGTTCACTCTCTGCCTGGCCCAGAAAATGGTGATGAGATTCATAGCATGAGTGTAAGATGTGGTCTGTGCTCTCACGTATATGGTCCAATTGCGACAGGAAAACCTCTAGCTTTGAATGCAGCAGAGTTTGCTCAAGTATCCAGCAGGTTTGTACTGAGTGTCTATCCCATGTTATATACTTTGTAAAGATCTGAAGATATAGGTGTGAACATGAGATTCTTTATGGAGTTTATAACCTAGTAAAATAAATGGACAGTTAATACTGTTCTTCAAGAGCATTAGACGTAGACATCATCTCGAACAATGTAAGTGACTGGTTCAGTATTTACTGTTACTATTAGAGTCTTGGCTGATGTGTTAGTTACTTACGTCATTGCAGTGAATTTTATTTTGAGGTTTTTCTTTGAAGAAATTTGTGACACCACCAGAAATTGTATATTGGGAGCCCTGATAGGTATGTTCATGGGGCTGTCTACAGTAACATGCTCTGTTACATACTCTGTTCAAATGGTAGTGCAGCTACTAGAAAGATCCTGGTGGTTGTAGAGAAACCAGGATCCCAAAAGACTTTGATCAAGAGAGTACCCTAGGGGCAAGGAAACCCTGCAGGCCTTTTGGCACAGCTACTCAGGAGACTTAAGGCAGGGGGAATCTAAAGTTCAAGGCCTGCCTGGACTATACAATGAGTTCAAGTCCAAGCTGGATAATTTAGCAGCACCCTGTCTTAAAATGAAAAATAAAAAGAGATCTGGGGTTGTCACTTCAGTAGTGAAGAACTTGCTTAGTATATGTGAGGCCCTCTGTTTAATCACTAGTATAAAAGTAAGGGAGGGAGAGGGGAAAGAGGGAGGAAGAAGTGAGATTCTGTAACATTACTGCTTGGACTTTATTGCCATTTTCTGATTTGAATCCAGAAAGCTTCTGGGTAAGTGAAACTTCCCTGTCCCTCCCCCAGCCAGAGTTAAAAGAAGAAAAGAGCCGGTTGCTTTTTTTCCTCTTAGGATAGACTGTATCTAGTTCATTTACTTCTTGGCTTTAGATGAGGCTATGTTCCAAAATATACATTACAAGTTGAAAATATGAGGAGTCAAAAATGCTTTGAATATATCTACCCCACCTTAGTCTCCCGGCTTAGCAGCTCACCCCAGTATGGAGTCTCCATTGCCTTCCATTGTGACTAGGAGTGTTCCTTGCTGCACCTGCCCAGCATCCCAAGAGAGGCTCATATTGTATATTGACAGCCCAGGGAAAGATCAAAATTAGAAGTATTTTTTACTTAGTAGTAGCTTCTACTGAATTCATATTGCTTTTACACTGTCATAAAGCAGAAAAGACACACATGGAACCATTTTAAATCAGGCACCATATGAAGAGGAAAAAGTGATTGAACCTTCCAGTGAGCTGAACAAGATTAACTGAATGCCTGGAGTTGCCATATGAACCCAGAGCTTGGGTTATTTGGGCTCCCTGAAATGGAGAAGATGGAAGTTTGTTTAGAATGGAGAGGGTAGGGGCATTTAGGATGGAGAGGATGGAGGAGCATTTAGGATTGAGAAGACAGAGGTGCATTTAGATGTTCTTTTACTCACCGCAGTGAATGTAAGAATGTGACCTGGTGACTCATCCTCCGTCTTTACCTTGAACCTGGCCTATGCTCACGAGCTTCTGTCACTCTGATCTTGCCTCTTGGTTCTCAACTTTAATATCCTGTTCAATCTCAAGAAATAAATAATCTCTGGTGGAAGAGACTTTGTTCAAAGAAAGAGACAGAGTTATATGAACAGGACCAAGGGGCTGGCCCTGGTATAGGATTGCTAGGCTGGCTGTTGAGTTCAAGCTTTGTGACAGAAGGTTCTTTTTCATACCTGCAAGTGATTGTGCTGTTCAGCTTGGAATCTGGGGCCTCATATAATGTCAAGTTAACAATATTCTCAAGTACACTAAGCAAAGAAGTACAGCTTTCCCAGAGGATGCTAGAAGCAAACGTTACTCTTTATCATATTAGGAGTTTAGGCCAGCACAAACCAGAAGATGTCTTGATCTCCAAAGAAGAGAATCCCAAGAAGCTTCTATTTGACCTTCCTGGAGACATGGTAGTTCAAGGACTATCTCTGAACCTCATGAGAAAAGGAATTTGGAGAATAGCATCAAATACTCATGATACCACAATCTGGGAAAGACTGTTAATTTGCAAATGTGCCTGGCCTAGTGATGGGGCAGGGGGATGCTGTGAGCTTCATTTGGCACATGTTGCCACTGCAGTTCATTAGTGCTCCTGTCTAGATGGAACACAGTCATCTGAGAGCCCTCAAGAGGGGGGCTGGGCTCCTTCCCAGCAGCTGCCTGTGTGTCCCCAGGCTTATTTTATCTGTACATGTTAAACAGGGAGCCAGCACCGAAATCAGATGCAGCCTTGCAGCAGAGTCCCAGTGAACTATAGCTGACGGGTACCTGTTCTATCCGGATGCCAGAATCCCCAACCACGGGCTCCGTGACCTGCAGCACTGAGATATAAAGCTGGTCCTTACAGCCAGACTCCATGAATATGTGGCAGAAAGAAAAGAATCAATAGCTTACATGCATTTCAAGGCCATTTCTCAACCATGTAGAACTTCAGTTTATAATTAGGAACTGTGCTGAGCCCCTGGGCCTTTTTTACTTAGCAGATATGACAGTCCAGATTTTTCAACCATGAATTAGGTTCTGGCTCTGAAGTTTAGAATGAGACTTGACTCTGTAGAAAGTTTGAAATTTGAGCTAAGCTAAGTTTGAAATTTGAGACTAGCTAAGCTAGCCTATGTAAAGTTCTAGCACTAGAACTGAGGGCATATCCCCCCAAGATGTGGTGGGTGGCAGAGAAGGGAGGTGGGACTACTACCATTACCACCTCTCTTCCTTGCTCTGCCTCCCACGCTGTAGTATAGTCTCAAGATGTTCCACCCCGGGCTCCCAGGGCAGGGAGGGGGCTGGGTAGCTTGCTCCCCCCCTGCAGCTCTCTCCAGTGGATGAGGTGGCTGTGCTGTGGCCTTCCCAGAGAGCCTGCTCACTGATTTTGAAAAGCATCCAGCCCAGTTACCATTTACCCAGCTCCTTCATTTACATCTCTGTGCAAAATGTCAGCCACTCCACTGAGGCCCTGGGCCCCAGTGTTTGCTGGGCCCAGGCCTTTCATACCCTGGAGGAAAGGCAGCCTTGGAAACACGTCCCAGGCCCTGGCAGCTGTGCTGTTAGGGGTTGCACAGACTTTGCAAACTGCTCTGAGTAGCTAGCTCAGCACCACCACATGGCTACAGACAAAAAGGCAAGAGCAGTCACCATAGCAACCCCTTCATTGCAGACTCACCATGCGCCAGGCCTGGCTTGTACCTGCATCATTTTAACAAATCCTTAGGAGCCACCACTGCCCCAATTAAAGCACAGAGAAAACAGGCTTCTAGATAAAGAAGGATCCTCAGTATTGTTGGTTCCATATTTGTAAAATAATCTGCTCACCAAAATTTATTTGTAACCACAGATTTATTTGTAATTCAAAGAGCTTTCCTGTCCTTTGTGGGCATGTGCCCACTGGGAAGAACGTGAGTCGCCTGGTGTGCATGTTCCCAGCTGATAGTCAGTCACGAGACAATTTACCTCTCCTTTCAGCTCTCACTAGAAAAGAAGCACGTGTTCTTTTGTAGTGTATTTGGTGCCTCGCTTTTTCTCAGTTTTTGTGCTTTTTGTTGCTGTTAATGAGTTTGGTGTTTAAAATTGCCCCTGAGTGTACTGCTAATGTACTTTTAGTCTTTGTAAGCTCAGGAAGCCCGAGATGGGCCTTACAGAGAAAACATGGATTATGGTGTTTCGGTTGTGAGCTCAGTGTCAACAGTAGATATTAAATAAGGCCTCTCTGAACAGAAATGTGCATAAAACAAAGTCATGTAGCGATCAACTGTTTAAAAATATTGTGACCAGAGTCACAGAAACCTTCCTCTATATTTCCCCTTGGAGCACTGGTTCAGTATTTGCTAATTCAGTATTTTAATCTTCTTAATAGAACATAACTACCTTAAATAAAAAGATGTACCTTGCCAAAGGGTACCAAGTTGATACTTAAACTCAAGTCTTGTTCCATACCAAAGCCTGTGCTTTTAACATGAAGAGCACTTTCCAGGTGTCTAGTAGAGGAAATAAGTTAACCTCTTAAAACCTCACATTTCCCTCTGTTAGAGCAGCTACCATTTTGAGCTTGATGAGATTTAAGGTGGTATCGTGTGAAAGCTATGTAGTTGCAGTACCTCACAGGTGCAGGAATCCAGTGTGTGCTGGCTTCCGGTAAGGAGGCCACAGTGGAGCTCCTGTACCTGGGCCCCCACTCATTCACACACATCAAACACACACACACACACAAAATAATAAATTTAAATCATTTAAAAGTATAGGTGTTCCAGAAGACTGACTACCATTTAAAAACTGAGTACTGCTGAGCATGGTATAATAAGAACCGGAAATAGCATTTTTTACACAGGGATTCTAAATCAAACTCATTAGTACAATAGGAAGCAATGTCTGGGGGTAGATGCACTTCCCTTTTATTCTGATTGAGAAATAGAAAGATTACTAAATGAATGTGTTACCCACTCCCCCTCCCACCCCAGTTAGCTTTTAGAACTTCTTAGAAGCTGAACTCTTTGATACTGGGTTACATGTTGCAAAGTTTGTATAAGTGCAATATAAATATCATTGTGAAAGGCACTTACAACAGAACTGAAAGCATCACTAAAAACATTGTGGTGTTTCCTAAAACACTGCTGTAACCATTCCCTAGCTGGGATTTTGTAATTGGTAGATGGGAAGTGCCTTCTTCCCCTTGTTCCTTGGAAGCCTGGGCAGGAGAAAGACAGAGACAGATACATTAGCCATCTTCTTCAGTCCCTTCCAGTGTAGTTACAAGAAACTGAGGCCCTAGAGGGCCTTTGGAAGTAGCTCCAGACTCTCCAGTTGGGTTGCTCTAGATGAAGATGATTAGCCTTTCTCTGGTGACTGATGTCTTGAGCAGAAGAGGTAGAAAGAAAGAGGCAGCTGTGTGGAGTTCCCCAGGCACTGTCCCTAATGCAGAGCCGGAGATTATCCATCTTGTTTATTCCTGTCTGTGCTTCAGAAGATGCCCTCGGGCCCTGTGGCTCAGGATTCCCTGGAAAGCTAGCTGTTTTTTTTTCCAGCTGTTGTGACTCTTGCTTGGAGGAGTGGACTTCCACACAGAGCAATCTCCTTCAGGTCATTTCAGAGAGCAGGATTATTTACCTAGGTCTAGGAGCTAGATCAGCCTAAGAGAACAGCATCTTAAAGGTGTGGGAACTGCCTTTGTCCTTGAAATTCCCTAGGAAGGAGCATCCCCACAGTGAAGCACCCCAGCTGTCAGATAGCTCCTGCTTCAAGTGTAAGGAGTAGGGGGTGAGATGGAGGTCTGTAGAAACTGCCCAGCTTTATCAAAATTCATCTAGGTCAAACTGTGGACACAGCTGTCTTCCTCTTGTACCACACTGCTTATTGCTTGCTATGTGGGGACTCCAGTCTCACAGGGTCAAATGGTAATTTTATGTTTAACTTCAAGAAGCTGCCAAAGTGTATTCCAAAGAGGCTGCACCATTTGACATCCATTTGAAAGCATCACCATTTGACAGCATCAGCACTATGTGAGCTTCCATCCCTCTGCATTAACACACGTGCTTGTTAGTGCCTTTTATTAAAGCCATTCCAATAAATGAACTAAGAGTTCATTATAGTATGATTCCCATTTCTTAATTAATGCAAAGGTTATATGTGACATACATGTTAAACATCTTTTCATTTGCTTACGGACCACTTTTGTCCTTTAGGGTTTTGTCATTTTAGATCTTCTGCCCATATTTTGGCTAACTTCATTTTTATGATAGTGAGTTATAAGAAAAATGTTTTTAATCCTAGATATAATTCATTTGTCAGATTTTTTTGGCAAATACTTTGTCCCGGTCTGTTAGTTTCTTAAAAGTATCTCTCAAAGCACCAAAGTTTGGAAATATGAAGTTAAGTTTATGAATTCTTTTGTGGACCACCCAAAACTGCTGCCCAAGCCTTGATCTCGAAGATTGCATCTTCGAGGTTTTTGGTTTTTTTCCTAAAATTTGTTTTAGCACTCACTCTGAAATCTCTGTGATCTTCTTTGAGTGAGTTTTCTGTATGTGTGAGGTAAGGGGTTAAGTTTACCTTTTGGCACATGGATGTCAAATGCCCCAACAACTTTCAACAGAACCATGGATTCCACTGCTAACCTCCATTCTCCTCTCCACAGATCTGCAAAACCCCTGAACCCAAAACAGCCTCCTACTGCAGCCCCTCTGTGCCGGTGCACTTTAACATTCAGCAAGACTGCGGCCACTTCGTTGCCTCAGTGCCCTCCAGCATGCTCACCTCCACTGACACCTCCGTCAAGGATCCTCTGCCTGCCCCACCCCCACATCCCCCTGCCCAGGAGCAGGACTGTGTGGTGGTCATCACCCGAGAGGTGCCGCACCAGACAGCCTCGGACTTTGTGCGGGATTCGGTGGCTACCCATCGGGCGGAGCCTGAGGTTTATGAGCGGAGGGTGTGTTTCCTGCTTCTGCAGCTCTGCAATGGGCTTGAGCATCTGAAGGAGCACGGCATCATCCACCGGGACCTGTGCCTGGAGAACCTGCTTCTGGCGCACTGCAGCCCCCAGGGCTCCCCCGGGCCCTCCTCTACAGCCCCAGCCATCACCACCAGCACATCTTGGTGCCCCTCTGGCCTGCCCCCAGCTGCCCTTACCTGTCAGGGAAGGCCTGGTGAGAAGCAACTTCCCAGGCTCATCATCAGCAACTTCCTCAAAGCCAAGCAGAAGCCAGGCAGCACCACCAACCTGCAGCAGAAGAAGAGCCAGGCCCGGCTAGCTCCCGAGATCGTGTCTGCCTCCCAGTACCGCAAGTTTGATGAGTTCCAGACAGGCATCCTCATCTATGAGCTGCTCCACCAACCCAACCCATTCGAGGTGCGGGCACAGCTGCGGGAGCAAGATTACCGGCGGGAGGACCTACCGCCACTGCCCACCTTGTCTCTCTACTCTCCCGGCCTGCAGCAGCTGGCCCACCTGCTGCTCGAGGCCGACCCCATCAAACGCATACGCATCGGAGAGGCCAAGAGGGTGCTGCAGTGCTTGCTGTGGGGACCCCGACGGGAGCTGGTGGAGCAGCCAAGCATCTCAGAGGAGGCACTGTGCAGCACGCTGCACAACTGGATCGACATGAAGCGGGCCCTAATGATGATGAAGTTTGCAGAGAAAGCTGTGGACCGAAGGCGGGGTGTGGAGTTGGAGGACTGGCTTTGCTGTCAGTACCTGGCGTCCGCAGAACCAGGGGCCCTTTTGCAGTCGCTGAAGCTCCTGCAGCTTTTCTGAGTCCACAGCCCCCCTACTTCCACCGCCCCCTTCCATGCCTACCCCTTGCCTTTACCTTGCCTGGATGCGGGTCACCCTGGGATATGGTACAAATGACTGTCATACTTGGATGTAATATTTTATATATATACATATAATATAAATATGAAAGACTGGGATGTCATTTCACACGCTAGCCCTCTCTCCTCATTAAGCTTCCATTCTCCGTCCATTTTCTCCTCCTGTAATTATTTACATTCCTAGCTCCTGGCAGGGTCCTGAGGATCGTTCTGCCAACAGAATGAAGCCTGGACTCCAGCCTCATGGCACCATTGTGGAGTCTCATCCCCTTTTGTCAAAATGTTATTTAAAAAACCACCACAATAAAAAATGCTTACATTAATTTTTTTGGTTGAATTATAAGCAAGCAAAGCTCTTTACCCCAAGAGCTTTAGTACACTTAAATCTTTGACAGATAAAATTGACTGTACAAGTGCCGTTGATCTTGCACTTCTTAGCAGATAAGGCAGCAGTCCACTGAAGCCCAGGTGTGTTGGTACCAGTTAATGTTCCCTGTTTCTCTTCCCACATACCTAGATGCTAGAAAGAATTTACATATGTCTGATGGAATCCCTGGGGTTTGGAATTCAACCTTGGTACTCCAGTTTGCTAAAGCTGGTCACCATTTTATCATGTGATACCTGGCTAAATAAATCTGCCCCAAATGGTTCAAGGGAAAATACCTTAACAGGGGTCCACTTAGAAGTGTGTAGGCCTAGTTCAAAGACCAAACAAAAGGTGAACAAAAGCAAGAACCTGGGCTGGTGTTTGCCCTGAGGGCTCTGGAGCCAGAGATGGAAGAGTAGAGAGAATTTCATGTTCTGTTTCTGTTTCCCACCTGTGGTTCCCAGGCTCACAAGACAGCAAGAGCAACAGATGCTATTTACAACATGAACCTTCCCATGTGGGGAGAAGGTAGAGAATGAATGGGGTGCTGAGTGTCAAGTAGCACACTGTTCTGTGCACCAGACAACGCCTGTGCAAAGATGGAACTCAGGCCTCTAGCTCCCAGCAGGTGATCTCTCTCTTCTAAGCTCCCTCGGGGGTCTTTTGCTTAAAATAATCATTTAACATGTATCAGTACCTGCTGTTTACTGAAGCCAGTATGTATTATCCTGCCTTTTAAAATGCATAGAATTAGGAAGCAGTAGATCTTTCTTCCTCAGAACCAAATGCACACACACAAATGATTCATTCAAGTGGAAAAAGTCCCAAGACCCTTTATTTCTACCTAATGGATAATCTTCCGACTACTGAACTAATTATTTTCTGATTAATAGCTGTGGCCAACTTTAAACAAATACAAAGCTCTTAGTAAAGATTTGGGGATGTGGTTAGCAACCAGCCAGGATGGGGAACTCCTCTAGGTCCCTTCCTGAATATTAATCTAGCTCCTTTCAAAAGCTCTGCCCTCTGGCCTCTGATTTGATGTAAGCGCATCTGCTTTCCATGTACCAGTGATGAAGGCAGCACCTGGGGGTGTGTTTATAATTTCATATTCCACCTGAACATTGAGGAGAGATCTTTGAGCATGGAAATCTTGATTGTCTGCAGGATACGTTTCAGCAAGCGGTATTTTGTCAGTTTTTTTATTGCTGGGAATTTTCCAGGCAAACCCTCAGCCCTTGATTTTCTGTCATTTACTTTCTTGTCCTTTCTGTCTTCAAATAAATAAACAATGGAGAAGTGGGAAAGGATCTTTCTCTCAGGAGACTGCAGTCCATTTGAAAACACAAGACTCAGGAGACATGTTTTTAAGCCCTGAATTATGTGTACCTTTTTAATATGCCACCCACCCCAGAAAAAAGATTGTGAGAATGATTTTAGGAACTAAAATGAAGCAAAAACCAAAGGTAAAAGAAGAGGCAATAGCAATAAATTTTGATTGAGAAGAGTAAAAACAATTAAACTTACTTTTGAACTGCTTACCAGCCTGGCCCAGAAAAAGAAAACAACCGGTCACAGAATTCTTGTGTAATTTTGAGGAATTGTTCACCAGGGGGACCAAACCTTTCTCTAGCATGTATTTCTAAAGGGAATTTGTCAAGTAGTCTTTCTGTGAAGACACTAAGTAGTATTCCAGTGTCCTTGTTTTAAAGGGGGTGGGGGAGGATTTTTCTAAAACTAGGGCAATGTCTTATATCCACTACTGGCAAAATCTAAGTGTGTGGGGTCCAAGCCCCCAGCAAAGCAGTTCTCAGGAGTAATTAAAGACATACAGCTACAAATAATAATGTGGCAAATAGCTTAAATTCAGAGGTTCAAGAAAACTGGTCTTGCTAATTCTGAATACACCTTTGTGTACTACGTTATCTCACGGGAAGCTCCAGCTCTAAGCACGTGAGGCCGAGCAACAATGGCTTTGTGCTGTAGGGTTGAGGGTCAGAAATTAACAGGGTATAAGAGCATTGCAAAGTGTGGTCAGTTAATGCAATTAATGCTTTTGCTAGGACTGAGGGTGTGGCTCAGTGCAAGAGGGTGTGCTTAGCTTGCACAGGGCCCTTGGTTCACCCACACACAGATAAAATTTTAATGAGAACAAAAGATTTTTAAAAATACTTTTCCCTACCTCCTTTGGGGGTCTTAAACCCAACTCCTGGTATTTAAATCCAGCTCTGAGTCAGGTCGCCCCCATATCCTTTCTACATATGTAATTTGGGTTGTTAGTGGGCCTTTCTTATTTTCATGCCAAGACATGAAAATGTTTTTTCTTTGCCCAAATTCTTTGCTGTGGGAGTTTTGAAGACTCACAACTTCATGAATATCCTTGCCAGAAGCAAGATAGGCACTTCAGGGGTTGTTTATCATAACACATGGCTCAGCTCTAAAAAGCTCAGGCTCTGGGGAGCTATAGTTACCACTTTATATAACACTGGTTTTTAAGAGCCAAGGATTGGAGAAAACTCTTGTGATATACACATGTACACAAAACAAGAAATTTGGAAGTGGGAGGATACATGTTACTTTAATGACATCTCTGAAATTCATGCTTTAAATACATAGCCAGTAGGACTGGGGAGATGGCTCAATGGATAAATGCTTGCTTTTATCTATATTCAGATCCCCAGTACCCACATAGAAAAGTCAAGCAGGCCAATGCACATTTTAACCTCTGCTTGAAGTGGAAGAGACAAGACAATTTCAGGTTAACAGAAATAGCAAAGTCCAGGCTCAGTGAGAGACCCTGTCCCCGAAAATGTGGTAGAGAGCAATAGATGAAGACACCCAACATAAACCTCTAACCTTCACCGTGTGCACACTGGTAAGCACCCCCCCCACACACACATATACATAAGATAAATACATAGCCAATAAGCAAGCCAGTACTGCTTCGTTCTACTGAATATCTAAGAATCTTTCAAGCTCTAAAGATAAGCATAGTAAATCTCAATGAAGGTAGTAGTTTCATAATGTTAATTTGCTTGCTATTTTTAATGGAGGATGATGTAATTGGGCAAAATCCAAAATTTGGGGGCCAGGGCAATAGCTCAGTTGGTAAAATGCTTACCACACAAGCATGGGAGCCTGAGTTCAAGCTCTAGAATCCATGTAAAAAAGCCAGGCATGGCAGTGGAGTAAAATAAGCAGACCCCTGGAGCTTGCTAGCCAGCCAGTCTAGCCTATGCAATGAGTTCCAGGCCAATGAGAAACCCTGTTTCAAATTTACAAGGTGGCTAGCATCTGAGGGATAACACCTGAAGTTGACCTCTGACCCATACATTCAAGCAAACTCGTGCACACAAGAACCTCAAATGCAACCCGGCTGTTCATGTCATTGCATTAAAATTATGTTTGGGACAGGTATCTTGGGGTAGATGTTTGACCAAGTCATTCTCCTTTTTTCCAGTGCTACTTAATATAAGAAAAGGGACAGTCAGTGTGTAACAGATTTCCCAGGAAGGGTACCCTGGAAAAGGGTTAGAGGTAGCCTGATGAATTTCCTGGCTCTAAGAAAGGATTCCAAATTAACCCCCAAACTATTTCATCAGTTCAAGGAAAAGTGAGGTTGGGCCAGAACTCCAGTGGCCAATTTGGATCCTTACCAGATCTTGGTTACTCAGTCTTCTCTGGCCTGAATCTGCAGGACTCCACTGTATCCATCCCAACTTGATGGAGTAATAGAAGTAAAATCAAATTGACTCCAGGCCTTTCCATACTATTCCAGTGAGGACTTGGACATATATATTGGTCACATATTCTAAATGCTGGAGTGAAGTTATTCCAGCTCTTAACCAGAGGCGATCATGGTCATTTCCTAAGACACTGTCCTAGACACTTTCCTGCTTTGTCAGAGGTAACTGGGCACAAAGACAGGTCAAGAAAATGGAATGTGGAGGAGGAAAGTGAGAATGCAAGACTAAGAAACAAACTGGCTGCATTCCCTTGTGCTTACATCCAACGCCAACGCTGAGGACTGCCCACAGCCCTGAAAGGCACTTGTGTCTGCCTGACATCTTTTGGGATCATAAACACACTTGTCTATCTGTGTTTCTCCCAGAAATTGCTAAGAATGAGAAAGCTCTGCTTGTTTCCCCTTTTCTAGATTGTGGAAAGTTTAATTTCAGAGTTGATAGCAGATTCTTTAAGGATCAAAAGACTAACAGCTCACCCTTGGAGCACTGAAGTTAGAAGTCAGGGTTTGGGCATGCTCAGCAAGCATCCTTGTCCAGAGATGTGACCCTTTTATAGGTTCTGTGCCAATTTTCATTTTCCTAATGGAGGAATAGGACCTTCTCTTCTTTCCTTCCAACTTGTTTTTTTCTTGCTTTTAGTACACAAAATATAGATGGCAGTAAAATGTCAGCAGTCAGAGCAGCGTCTTTCCACCCTGTTCCTCCTCCTTCCTCCTGTTCCTATCCACCCTCTGTAGAAGCCACACTGGCCAGTTTCTGTTTTATTCTCTCTGTGTTTCATTCACACAAATGAGCAGACAGTGGCTGTCAGCACTCCACATCTATGGCTCCTGCATGTGCAGAGTCACCCAATCTTGCATCTGTACTGAATATGCACAGAATTTTTCCTTGTTATTATTCTCTAAACAGTACCACGCCATAATTATTGATATATTATTTACATTGTATTGGAGATTTATAGTAATCTAAAGTTTATTTAAAGTATACAAGAGGGTGGCATAGGTTATATGCAATATGATTCCACTTTATATAAACGACCTGGTGTAAAAGGATTTGGATATTTACGAGAATCCTGGAATGAATCCCACAGGGATACTGAGAGATGGTTACATAGATCTTACATACATACATACTGTCTTACAACACTGCATTTTATTCTCCTGGAAGAT